AGGAGGGCCTGGCGTGCTCTGGTCCATGGGGTCACGAAGAGTCGAACACGACTTAATGGCTAAACAAACAATGGAAACAAATATGATGAACATATAGGTCTTTCCCCCCCCACCCAGGTGAAAAGGAAAGTTGATTTCCAAATATAGGCGAAGAGTCGGACACGACTAAACGACTAAATGACAACAACAGGCTAGGATTGCTAACTTGTGGGACGTCCCGGATCCTTCAAACTCAAAATCTGGAGACGTGGTAAAAATTGTAAGGTTTCGCTCCGAGGCGCAGAGAATTAACTGTTCTCCCGCGTCCCATGGGGAGGGGAGGGGAAAGGAGAAGTGCCTGGACGCTCCGATCGAACCAGACAGAGAGCAACAAAACCACAAGGCAGTCGCAACCCCATTCATGCTCAGCTGAATGTCAAATGCAAACGCGACGATCTCCGGCGTTGCCGGCCCAGGGAACGCACTGAGGGCGGAGCGAGCGGTGCGATTGGTGGTGGTGGTGGTGGTGGTGGGAGGCCGGGCGGTGCTGGGAGCGTCCGCGCGTCCCTCCCCCGTTCCCCGTGACCCGGCGGCGCGATGGCGGCCGCGGCGGAGCGCACCGACGAGCTGGTGCGCGAGTATCTGCTCTTCCGCGGCTTCACCAACACTTTGAAGCAGCTGGACGCGGAGATCAAGGCGGACAAAGAGAAGGGCTTCCGGGTGAGGGCGCGATGCTCGGACGGTCTGCGGAGGCTGGGCAAGGGGGGGGGAGATGGAGAAAGAGGAGGCGCGGGAGGTAGCGCCCCACTTCCGTGGCTGCCGCCTTCCTCGCTGCCCACGGACACACACACCCCCGCCACCCCTCAGGCGCATTGTTTTGGGGAGCGCCGCGCCCGCACGTGCCGGTGTGGCGGAGGTGGGGCTCCTGGGCCAGAAGCAGGAGGCCTGCTTTTCAGCCCCGGGGAGGGAGGTCGGTGGCTTTTGGGCTTCCCTTCCGGCCCCTTGGCGGTGGCGCGAGTGGGGAGGTTGAGGCCGGGCTCTGCGAAGCCGCCAATCCCACACAGACTCCCCAGGACCAGGGTTCAGCCGCTCCGGAACAGGGGAAGACCGGCAATGAGTGGAAAAAAGCGCCTGAGCGTGTGCAGAGGGCTTCCCTTTCCCAGCTGAAGGGACGCGCCTAGTCGTTAGGGTTATCCGGAGGGGCCGTCTGGTGGTTATCTTGGCACTTTCTCTGTGTGTCTTGCTGGTGGTTCATGGTTTCGTATAAAACTAAAATGCAGCTTCTTAACAAAACGAAACTCCAAATAAAAACGGTTCAAAAGGCTGGCCCGTATATATATCACCCAATTAAAACATAATTCTGAAGCTACTAAATGTAAACAATTGAATAACAAATACCTATACAGTACTTGTACTCTTGGTTTTCTTACAGATGATTCTCTGGTCCCCTTTAAAAATTAGCTTTATAAGCTTGTCCGCTCCATCTTGTATTCCTCTTGGTGTTGCACTGGGAAAGAAATCGAACCGTTTCTGCGTGGAGTAGTACTATAAATTTAGATTTGTTGTATAGACGCTTACTACAAGAGAAACAAGTGCAGTCTTGGGCTGTAGTAAACTCAAATTCATTGTTCATTCATATCATTTCATTGTTCATTCAGAATAAGAAAGTAAAACTTGCTAGACTGGAGTAGGCAACCTGGTATCCTACAAATATGCTGAACTACAATGTCCATCATGGGACCACTTGCTACACTGATGGCAATTGTAGTCCAAACTGCAGGAATGACAAAAAGTCTTGCATCTTGTTTCTCAGAGTAGCCAGCAAATACTGCCAAAAACTTGGAAGCTGTTAGCTGTCCTTGGGCACCAGATACCCAGAGAGATGTCCAGTTTCTAAAACTGAAGGTAGCACGTAATCAGTTATCATAGCTAGTAGCCACTAATCACAATATTCTCCATACATTTATCTGCATCCCATCACTATGGAATTGAATTTGACCAAATCTTTGTGGCTGGGTTGAAATCCTTTGAATTATTTCGGTATGGTTGTGCTTTAATAAAACTAATATAAACCTGAATTTGATATCCCGTAGTTCTTTGGAAAAGTATTGCTCAAAGATGTAAGCAAATAAGAAAGAGGTATGTAGCATCTTTTAATATTTTATTCAGTATTCGTTTTCAGGGACTATTGCCCACTTCACTCATCAAGCTAAGAGGCTACTGTCCATGAAAGGGTATACTAAATAAAACTTGTTAGTCTCTGAGGGCCACATGACACACTTCCGATATATGGTGTCCCTATGAATGAGAGACCCCCCAGAAGGTTCTGTCATCAATAATTCTGCTCAGCTCTTGCAAACTCAACGCTGTGGCTTCCTTTATTGCGTCAATCCATCTCAATATTTTGTCTTCTCATGGCACAGTGATTAAAATGCAGTACTGCAGCTGAAACTCTGCAGGTGCATCTCAATATTTTGTCTTCTCATGGCACAGTGATTAAAAGACAGTACTGCAGCCGAAACTCTGCAGGTGGTGGTGGTTGTTTAGTTGTTAAGTCGTGTCCGACTCTTTGTGATCCCATGGACCAGAGCACGGCAGGCCCTCCTATCTTCCACTGCCTCCCGGAGAGTCGTAAAATTCATGTTGGTAGCTTCAATGACACTGTCCAACCATCTCATCCTCTGTCATCCCCTTCTCCTCTTGCCTTCACACTTTCCCAACATCAGGGTCTTTTCCAGAGAGTCTTCTCTTCTCATGAGATGGCCAAAGTATTGGAACCTCGGCTTCAGGATCTGTCCTTCCAGTGAGCACTCAGGGTTGATTTCTTTAAAAATGGATAGGTTTGTTCTCTTTGCAGTCTAGGGGACTCTCAAGAGCCTCCTCCAGCACCACAATTCAAAAACATCAATTCTTTTGCGGTCAGCCTTCTTTATGGCCAGTTCTCACTTCCATACTTCAATACTGGAAAAACCATAGCTTTGACTATGCGGACCTTTGTCGGCAAGGTG